CTTGGTTTGTATGAATAAAGGTAACTTGATGTATTGTAAATGGTAAATGTTTAACTTAGAGTGTAAGTATAAGTAAGTATGGTATTGTATGTTAATGTATAACTGTTTTTGTATGTTTTGGATCCAGGTTGTTTTTTTGGAGAAAAGCACCTTAGCTTTCCCCCTACAAAACAACTTATAAAGAGGGGAGGTGTTACATACAGCACTGATGTTACCTGTCTGTCATGGGTTGGAGGGAAAGTTCCATCCTATGGGGAGTGGAAGGCGGGACATCAGGAGGAGGGGCTGTACTGTATATATATGTGGAGTTTGTGTGGAGAAGTTAGGGGAAGCTGAAGGAGAGCTGAAGGAGAGCTGAGAGAAGAAGCTGGTGTGGGAGTCTGTGTGTCAGACAGGGTACTACTGTGTGTCAGTCAGTACCAACCTGATAGGTTCAGGTGTCTGTATGGGTAGCCAGAACTGATAGGTTCAGGGTCTGTGCTTTATTTAAAGGTGTTCTGTGTGAACCAACCTGGTGTATGTATGATTGAGACTAAGCCACGTTACTGTATCTTATTCATTTGATCATTTTATTTTCCCTGTGTGTTATTTAAATAAACCTTATTCCTTTGTTTGTTTAAAAATCCATTCCTGGTCTGTGTGACTCCTTACAGGGAATGGTTGGTGGCAGCTTAGTGAAACTGTGGCATATCCCAGTAGGTCTGGGGTTGTCACAGAGGCTTCTCCACTTAAGATTGTCACCTGTACACAAAGAGGGCAAGAGAACTCAGATGGACGGGGTCATGCCTAGCACATACCTCTTCTTGTGTGCATATTCAACACATTTTTATCACCACCAAATAAGATTCAGATATGACCAAAAACTATGGAACAGCTTTGTTTGCTGTGATTGATGACCTTTATTCATTTTATTGTTCTAGATGGAAACTCGAAAGCGCCTGGCTAAAATCGTACTCGTCTTTGTTGGGCTTTTTGCTGTCTGCTGGTTACCTACCCATGTGCTGTACATGTACCGGTCCTTTAATTACCATAAAATCGACCCTTCCCTTGGCCATATGATCATTACTTTGGTAGCCCGAGTGCTCAGCTTCTGCAATTCTTGTGTCAACCCCTTTGCACTCTATTTTCTGAGTGAGAGTTTTAGGCGGCACTTCAATGCCCAGCTTTGCTGTCGCATAACGCCTCATCGACAGAGATCTGCCAGTTACCTGAACAGCACCTCAGCCATTCGGATGACTTCTGTGGAAAATAACACCAGGAACACTGATGCTATGACAACAATTGTGAATGGGCATAACCCCAAATAAGATATACCATTGTGACTACTGTACATCCAAGCTTGAAATGAGTTTGTTTTAAGCATTATCTCTGCTGCATGTCACAGTTATTTAAAACAGATTATTAGTACCTTTAATTTAAGGACAAGCATTTATTTATCTTCCTCTGGTTTACAAAGGAAGTATTTTTACCTTCTTGTGGATTTGGAAGGATATACAGTATATTCTCACTTAGTAGCAGCGGAGGAATTGTTTCCAAAATTCTTGGATGGGAACTGAGGAACACAAATGAAAAAGGGGCAGGATGAGGACTAATATATACAATTAGTTGTTTATCTTGTTGAAGAAGTATATATTACTATAAAAGAGTGCTTTCATCTGGGAACTTTTAGGATACTATATTGCTGTGTAACGCCTTCTTTCAAAAGGTAGCCTCCCTGACTCAGTCATGTGCATACTTTGATGTTCTGCCTGTACCTCTAGATTCTGACTCCACTGACTGTGTCTTCATTGAATTTCTGATGGAAATAAATGCATTATTTAATTTAATTGTTGAAATATAAATGAATATGTATATGAACACATTTCCCATCCAGGTTGCAAGCTGTTTACAATAAAACAGACCGGAACTGGATGAGGAACTATATATGCAAATAGATCCATTGCATAGTCTGGTTGGGCTAATAACACTGAAAAAGTAGAGGATATACTGGGATTACCTACTCTAAATCCTGATGCCCTGCTTGCCCTGCTCCCATGGAGAATGCAGCTACAGGTGAATTCTCCATCACAAGGGGAGCCATGACAGGGCTTCCCTCACAGGCTCTGACTCCTCTGTCTTCTTCCCTGCTTTCTTCTACAATTTGGACAAGGAAGTCCTGAAACCAGGAGTCTATTCTATACTTGTAGCTCTCCATATAACTTTGGATCCTATATCCTATGGACAGGTGATGCCGACAAGCACAGCTTGCTGCATAAGAAGAACATGTGAATATGAATGTCCAGCCAGGGGTATTGCCTGTAGGGCATTGCTTTGATTTTGTGCAAATCTGTTATCATAAAGGATTATAATGTGATCCATTACATATGTATTGAGATGCTAATTGTGTGTGACCAATATATACATTGCAACAGGCACCTATCAAAATTGTTCAGTTTGCCACAAGGCTAGATTGCCTAACAGCCACAATGAGGTGCATTAGCAAGACAATGTTGCCTCACATTGCGAACAGTTCACTTTAAAAATTATTATTGCTTAGTGCTTAATTGATGTGGCTTGTCTGTCCATCCTACCACCCATCTCATTTCATACTACAGGAGCTTTTGTCTGCATCACTGTGTCACATTTTGAATCTGGTAAACATCTGTGACATTTGAATAATAAATGGCCAGTTACAAATGAATGTTCTTTTTGTGGGACTATCTTTGAAGATAGTCCAGAAAATGCAACTGGTACAAAATGATGCCATGTGTGTCCTGGTGGTTGGTAGAGAGTTCAATGTTATCTTTACTGGCCCCAGTCTGAATGGCTGGTACTGTCCTCTGAAGCCCTCATTTTAAATTGGGTTTCAGATTAGTTTAAAGACTACCTTCATTGGTACCACCCTGTCTGCACTCTGAGATCATTGTTGAAAACCATAACCAAAATATTGTAGTTTTCTACATTTTCTGGGTTTTATGATTTCTTCATCTTTCTTTCTTCATCTTGGTTCTTCTTCATTGTTCATCCAAGAAATTCTCTGCATTCTGTGGTAAATCCAGAAGACAGCTACCGAACACATGACGTTTCAATCTTGAACTGTTGCACAACTTTTCTCGTGTGGTAATTGCCTTGTAATGACAGTGACAGTAAAGGAAGGGAATGACGTACTTTAATGTGGGCTCAGCTATATTTAAAGAGAATGGTTTTTAAAAAATGTTTTCAGTCATTTCTCCTACCTTATTCTGTGTAGCATGAACAGCATGAGGCTGGCAGCATATTTTGATCCAAGGACACATTTAGTGTGACAAGGGAGAACCAGATTGTGAAAAGGCATGAGCCTCAGGTTTTGGCAGAAGCCAAAACCACCACCACCACCGAACAGCTTGTTACAACTGTAAGAAAAGGTTTATAGCTCCTTTCAGGCAGGAAATGAGTACATCTTGAACACATTGCTTTGCAGACATCTTGTCCAAAGTTCAGAGTAGCATGATATTTGTGAATTGTCATTGCCCTGGAGTCCTGTGGAAACTTCTTAAATGTTACTTTGCTACAAATTGTGTATTGTATTTCCCTGACAGTTTACATGGTTCTATTACTGTGAAACAGTAGATGTTGTCAGTCTGAAGATTTCTGTGTGAGGTGGCTCTGTGTAGTAATGATTAAAAATGATCAAAGCAGAAGACAGCATGGCTGGGCTGCTCTTTGTTCGTAAAGTTGCTGCACAACTCTTTTCAAAAGCTCCAGATAGAAAGTAGATGTTTACACTTCAGCTGAGAACAAAATCAATACGCTTTATGACCCACATGTACAGAGTTGGGCTTAGTGTCTCTTTGAAAGCTGTGTGATAAAAATAATTGGAACTAAAAATGACAAATACTGAAGTCCAGATACAGATTTCAGGGGCTTATAATGATCTCGGCAAAGAAGAAAGGAACATCCCTGGAGGACTCAAACCTCACCATTGCCTCGTCTCTTTCCCAGAAATGACCATAGAGCAGGGGTCAGGGAACTTTTTTACCTTTTACCCCCCCACAAAAAAATTTATATACATTACCCCCTTGATTCGAAAGGAAGGAAATCATACATTATTTGAATTAAAATATTATTGAATCTACACAGGCTGTGTACTGAACTAGCAGGATGCACCAAATTTGATAAAGATGTGCCCTATTTTTGCTGGAACACATTACACTCCAGCCATGGTGCGGTATAGGGAGTAGTAAGGTGTCCAATGTTCCTAGCAAGTTGCATTAAATTTTTGTTAGCTCGCAGAGGATTTAATCATCAGCAGAGTGGTGCTAGCAATGACATGCTTGCTAGAGACAGCCAACGCAGAATTGGGGGGGGGGCTTTCCCTACCACTTTAATCATTCTACATGTGTGGTATGCAAAAAGGAACAAACCAGGCTAAAGGTCATGTCACCACCCTGGTGCCACAGCCCAATATCAAAGGACCAGTGTGCTTTTTTATCATCATCAATGGAAAATTCAGCAGTGGCCAGAGGATTGGAAAAGATCAGTCTACATTTATTTATTTATTTATTTATTTTATTTTATTTTATTTATTTATATCCCACCTATCTAGTCGGTTAAGACCACTACATCCCAATCCCAAAGAAGGGAAGTGCCAAAGAATGCTCCAACTACCATACAATTGCACTCATTTCACATGCTAGCAAGGTTATGCTCAAAATCCTGCAAGGCAGACTTCAGCAGTATGTGGACCAAGAACTCCCA